TCACGCACACGACGGGGCAGCAGCACAGGGCGAGCACCAACAGGGCGCACAGCAGACGGCACGTCATCATCGTGAGTGTGGTCGTTCAGTGGTGTGGAGCTGATCTGCACAGTGAGGGACATGGAGAGCAACAGGGGAGACGAGAGGTGCGGCAGACACACACAGAGGGCACACCACATGAGGAGAGGGCAGCAGCCAGGCATGCACCGTACGCCGCACACCACACACGACACACACTCCAATCCACGGCAACAGGCACACACACACACAGCCCTGCCGCAGCACCAACACACAGATGGAAGAGGGAGAAGCAAACAGGAGCGGCACACAAGGCTCCACCGCATGCACATACGGCGAGAGCGGTCCGTCGTGTCGGCACCCCTCACGGAGTGTACGCACACACACAAGAGGAGGTGCAGCGCACACAGCAACACAAAAGCAAAGTAACAATTAAAAAGGAGAGATCCCCGCACACCACGTGGATTGTTGGTCCACGGGAAGTGCAGCCAACATTCATCACAAAAACAATTCAGTTGCCTTTGGCCTTCGTTCATATTCAGCGCACACCACTTCATGCAGGCACGGCCACCACCCCAACAGCAGAAGTAGCACACGCAAAAATAAGCACAAGGAATGGAATAAGGCAAGCAACCATTTATTTGTGTTTCTGTTTGGATGTTGGCAGATGTCTGCATGCGTTGTTTTGTTTTTCAGAGGGCAAACCTTCATGCCTGGGTCGTGTGTTGGGGATTTCTGCAGGGTGCACAATTATTTGTTTTTTTTCTTTTGTAAATGTTTCTTGTGTTGGTGCAGCCAACAATTCGGTTTGTGTTGTTCCTGCTTCCCTTTGATAAGGTGTTACAATAAAAAATAATCTTCTGGGCCGCTGGCCGAATTCTGAGTTTCTCAATAATAGAAACCAAACAAGATAGAAATAAGTGAGGGATCAACGGAATAAGAGTGGGTTCACCACATCCTCAAAGTTCAACACGAGGCAAATAAATGCATGTTTATATATACATACCATCCGTTAGCCACAATCGTGGCCCGCCCACTCTATTCGGATAGGATACATATATTTATTTATTAATTACGAGGTGGCAGACTTTTGGGGTCCTGCAGCCACAAGACCCCGCCGCGTGGTGGGAACCAAAAGGGGGTGGGTGCGATGGTAAAAATAAAAATGAAAAATTATCCGGCCGCTGTCGGCTCCCTAAAGTCGTAGCCTCCCCAAAACTCATACGGTAGAAAAGTGTCGTAAAAAAGTGTATATTCGTTCTATCAGGGTGTATATATATATATATACATTCATTAAGGCAGCCAGCTCTCCCGCGATCATTCTCTACACAGGCTCCTAAAAGGGCTCAAACACACCCACAAGACTCCCAGCAAGAAAAGGGACACACGGCATGACTGACACGACTCAAAGTCATGTTTCTAAGACAAAGCGTGGATGACTCTGTCGACGCCACACCCGCACCATATGCCATCAACTCCTCCACGGCAATAATCCTGCAGCGTGCGGAGAGGACGTTTCACGAGCGCATTATTGGCGGAGCCAAACAACTGTACCGTCAGCAGAGGGCAGCGGGTGGCGGGGAAAGTGAAGGTGGTGGGACTGTTGGGGAGGGTCGATGCGCAGTGTCCCCCACAAATACGAGGCGGGTGAAGTGAAACAAACTCGTCTGAACGTCACCGGCCACCAAGATGCATTGCTCCCTGCCGTAAAGATTGATGAGCTCGAGCCTGGAGCAACTACTCGCAATGCGTGAAAGCGTCTTCCTGCACTGACGCTGCGATTCACATTAGACGGGCAACTTCAGAACAGTCGATCCCCAGCAGTAAAATGCAGCTGGCAGTGACGCTGTGGATTCTCGATTCCCCCGGCAACGGAGGGTGAAGAAGAAAACTGGTCTCCCCAGCTGCGCGGCATCCATCCATCCACTCTGTGCGTCCGGAGTGCCCCGCAGCTGCCTTAAGAGATGCAGCGGACAGACCTCCCTTATTTTCGCCTCGATCCGTCAACGAAGACTTTCGCAGAGATGTCGGCACACACCGAAGTCTCCCTCGTGCCCACCAAACAAAAGACACACCCGTTGAGCATCGTCACGTGCATCAACGGCCACGCAAATAAATATCCACCGCAACGCAAAGTGTTTCTTATTGGGCACCAAAAGAAAACTGGAGGCGGCGGCCTGGACAACACAGACATCAAATCACACGCCAGGCAACCCTGAAATACATGCAAAAGGGCCAACGCGGGACCAGCAGCACAAACACTCGAGAGCTGCTGCGTGAACTCCACGGCAAATGGATCAGCCTCAACGCATGGGGCACCAATTACGGTGGGTGACAGCGCGAAAGCCAACGGTTTCGCAATGCCGCGGATTGTGGAGACGGCATTCAAACCCTCCTGGGATTCGTGTGCCAAGACACGCAAATAATCCGCCCCTCGGTGCAAGTCGTCACCATAATCCTCATCGCTCCCTTTGCCGTCATTCGTATTATCACACTCAGAGCCGGTAAGGGAAGATGCTTCCATGATGATTGTGACATCACACTGAATGAAACAACGCAATGCCTCAAAGGGTGCCAAGTGCAGGCATCCCGTCAGGCAGCGACACGCCGCAATCTTAGCAATGTACGAAGCAAAGGCAACGAAACAGCTTTCATCCGCCATCGTAATCGCGTTCAGCAGGTTCGCCCTCTTGTTCCTCGGCGCCTCGTCCCTCTCCAAGACACCAGCTGCCGCTGCCGTAGACCACGCTGCTGCCGCACTCACACCCACAGAGAGACAAGGAAGAGTGTGTGGAAGTGTCTGCCGAGAGCACAGCGACTGTCATCGCCAGAGGAGGCCGTCGCGGCACCGTCCGTCACGCGCCAGCACACACCGAGCAAAGCACGTACTCGGCAGTGCAAATACATTCTTGCGGAGCACTGTGCAAGTACTTATGTGTGTGGGTGTCTTTTGGAGAAGCTGAAAAGAGAATTACAGGAAGGCACATCAGCACAGCAAGAGGCACAGCTGGATGGCAGCGATACATGCGGTGCGGCCCAAACCTCAACAATCACGCACGGTGGCAGCACACACCCATCCACAAAAAACAAAACAAAACAGAAAAACACGGCGGCAGGGTGTGGCTGTGTGTGTGTGGCGCTGCGGGTGTCTGCCCGCCCTGGCCGCAAAAAACAAAACAAGAGGGAAAGAAATGTGTGCTCCGCCCCACCGGCCCTCGTCGCACGCCCACACGTCACGGCTCCCTCAGCGCGCCGTTCGTCGCGGCCCCTCCTCATGCGTGCAGCAGGCGAGGCGCACAGGGCCGTCGTCATGAGCGTGTCGGTGGGTGTGCGAGTGGAGCAGTTGGGCGGGAAACAGACGGCACCCCTCACAGGAAGAGCGCAGAAGAAACAATTAAAAGAGGGAAGAGTAGAAAAGAAAAAACGTCCACAGTGATTGCCCCAAGGCAACAAGCAAAAAAAGGGGGAGATTAAAAAAAAAAAACGGAAACACAAAAAAAGAAAAGAATTGCGGAGAGTAATTCATTACCGGATGTGCGTTGGTGTGGGGGAGGGCGGAAGTGCCCCACACTGAGGCCGCACACTCCTCACGCATTCGCAAAGCCCCACAGTCCCAGCAGAAGCAGCAGCGGCAGCAGTTCCCTCCCGTACGCGGAACCAGCATCACCATTTGCCCCACCATCACCCGTTTCTCGTGCCGTTCCTCATTCCCAGCAGAAGTCAAGCGTCCCGCTGGCGCATGTTGGTTATTGGCGGTTCTCCCCACAGTTGTCCTCCCCGCTGCTGCAGGAATTTTCTCTGGGCCAGGCACCGCAGGTACAGCAGGTGCGACAGGTTTAGGAGCAATTTTCACTTGTGGTTCTGGAGCTCTCGTCGGAACGGGGATCCTGTCCTTGATTGCACGCATCTCAGTGGAATTCAGTGGGTGGTTGTACAGAAAGACGTTTGTCACCGTCACACGAGGTTTTTTGCCGATCTCCTTCGGACTGGGCTTCTCCTCATCATTATCATCAATTTCGCACGCACCAAAGCAAAACCCAAAAAGCTAAAGTGGTGTCTCGCCTGTTAACGGCACTTCTCCTTCCCCCAGCGACTCACCATCAATGTACACAGAGGCCTTGTTGCCTTGCAGCATGAGTGCCACTTGGTGTTCTTTCTTCGGCTCCCAAGTGCTGCCCTCTGTTGTCGTTGTGTTTGTGCCTTCGAACATCGTCTCCCACTTGTTATCCGCGGTGTACGACAGTCTCATGAAATACTCGGGCTCAGCGTCACCCAACACTGCATCCAGTAGAGGAGTGTTATTACTCGGAGCCTCTTCGATGGTCACCGACGCCACAACTGTGAAGTTGTGGCTCAAGGATACATGACGTACTTTATCATCCGGAATGTTCACAGGCCATATTACCCCGGAGCCAGGCTTCGTCAACTGAAACCCATCCTTGACCTTCACCGCATTCCTCACCGTCGCATTCAGGCAAAGGTACTCGTCGTTCCACGTGCCATCACTGGCCGATGCGTTTGAAAAAACTGCCACCAGACCCGCCGTGGGTATGGAAAAGCGGGAGAAGAAAACGTCCTTTTGCGCCCAATTACTGAGGACGGACTCGATTTCCTTCAGTTCCTCCGTCAGGCGGGAGAGTGAAATGGCACTGCCTTCACCACTGACCCTCCGTTGTAAAAGATGCAACTTGCCATCCGAGTACAGCAGGGTGTTGGCGACCTCCTCCTTCCAAGCATTGTACATGCCAACCGGTCCAAGAGAAAACGAGCGGTTGTTGTCCGTCACCCAAAGGTAGAGCGCAGTGGCCCTTTCCGTTTCCCCCAAGGCGTACCCTCTCTGAGTGTACAGCATGACCTTCCTTCCCTCAATGGTCGCGGTGATGAGGGCATCCACATGCAGGCTTAAATCCTGAGAGGCTCCCGATCCTGAGTTGACCCACACGCCTGGAAGCGTCCCGATGGCCTCCGTCCACGCTGTCCCCATGTCCCGCGACTCGTACACCCTCTGGCCGTTCTCGGAATCAACAATCATGAGAAGTGATCCCTCCTCGGTGATGCGGGGGTTAGGGCATTTCGCAGGGGACATGCCCTCTGGGAACACTCAGGTACTGCCGCTGTCCGTCGAGTAAATGATCATGGAGTAAACGTCACCATTTTCTTCATTCATCGCCATCAGAGAAAACACAATGGTGCCATCCTCCATCAGAACACCTGCGCCACCAGAAGCGAGGCACTCCGTCCATTTACCTTCGTGAGCAGCTAAAGTAGTCTGCTGCACCGGCGATCGAACTTCGCCCCATTCGATCCGTTCACTTGGCTCGCCGCCCGTGGC